AAAAAAAAAAAGACCTTGTCTCTGCTAAAAACAGAAAAAATTAGCTGGGCGTGGTTGTGCACACCTGTAGTCCCAGCTACTCGGAAGGCTGAGGCAGGAGGATCACTTGAGCCCAGGAATTTGAGGTTGCAGTGAGCTATGATTATGCCACTGTACTCTAGCCAGGGTGACAGAATGAGATCCTGTCTCAAAAAAATTAAAAAAAGAATTCCTACAGATAAGTGAGAGAAAGGCAGGAAATACAATAGATGAATAGGCTAAAGACTTGAATGGCCACTGCACAGATGAGGAAACCCAAATAGCTAATAAACATATGAAGGTGCACTCAACCTTATTATTATTGGGAAAATGTGAATTAAAAACAAAGAAAGATATCACTATTCAATCATCACATTGGCAAACATTTTAAAATCTGAGAAGACCAGCTACTGGCAGAGCAGAGCAAAGAAACTCTCATATACTGTTAATGGGAGTACAAATTAGTAAATCACTTTGAAAAAGTATTGGCAGCTGTTTACTAAAGTTTAAGTTATATGTACTCTGTGACTACCACTCTTAGGCATATACTCAGAAGGAATGCATGCATGCTTATGTATACCAAGGAAACACGTACAAGAATTTCATAGCAGCATTGCTCATAACTGCCCCAAACTGAAAACTGACCAAATGTCCACCAACAGAACAATGAATAAACAAATTGTGGTGTATTAGAGTATCATATATCAATGAGAATGAACAAACATGTAACAAAATAAATGAATCTTACGAACATAATGCTGAGTAAAAAAAAAACAAGACATGAGAGAATAGCTACAGTATGATTTCATATACTGTCTCAGTCTGTTTGCAGTGTTAAAACAAAATACCATAGATGGGGTGGTTTTAAACAACAGAGATTTATGTCTCACAGTTCTTGAGGGTGGGACATCCAAGATCAAGGTGCTAGTATACTCAGTGTCTGTGAGGGCCCACTTCCTCATAGACAGCAGTCTTCTCACTCTACCCTCACAGGGTAGAAGGGAGGGTAGTTCCCTCAGCCTCTTTTATAAGGGGACTGATCCTGTCCATGAGGACTCCACCCTCAAGACTTAATCACCTCCCAAAGGCCTTACCGCTTAATACTATCACCTTGGGGGTTAGGATTTCAACATATGAATTTGGGGGAAATATAAACATTCAGACCATAGCATATAGTAACATAAAAAATTCAAAAATGGACAAAACTAAATTATTTAGGAATGTATACATACGTGGTAAAACAATTAAAAAAGAAGTAAATGATTACAATAAAAGAAAGTCAGGATTACTTCTGTGAGGGGGAGAGGGGAGGTAGTGATCAGAAAAGGAAGGGATGCTACTGGCAATATTCTATTTCTAAGCCTAGGTAGTAGTTTCATGATTATCTGCTAAATAACTATTTATTGAACTGCACATATAAGTTTTTACGAACTTCTGTAGATATATAATATTTTCCAGTAATAAAAGATTTGTTAAACATACAGAGCAAAGCAATACGTATAGTATAATCTCATTTTTATTTTATTTTACTTTTTTTTTTTTTTTGAGACAGAGTCTCACTCTTTTGCCCGGGCGAGAGTGAGTGCCATGGCGTCAGCCTAGCTCACAGCAACCTCAAACTCCTGGGCTCAAGCAAATGCCTCAGCCTCCCGAGTAGCTGGGACTACAGGCATGTGCCACCATGCCCGGCTAATTTTTTCTATATATTTTTAGTTGTCCAATTAATTTCTTTCTATTTTTAGTAGAGACGGGGTCTTGCTCTTGCTCAGGCTGGTTTCGAACTCCTGAGCTCAAACAATCCGCCCATCTCGGCCTCCCAGAGAGCTAGGATTACAGGCATGAGCCACCGCGCCCGGCCAACTATTACATTTTATATATACCAAAAGTTAGGGAAGAATATGTAGCAAACTATTAACAGTGGTTAGCTCTGGGAAGTGAGTTATAGATGTTGGGATGAGAGAAGCCCTTTTACTTTTTACTGGATTTTTTAATTTTAATTTTATCCATTGCACAAGTCATATTTTTATAATTTTAAAAACTCTCATAAAAATTAAATTAAATTTTAAGAATGTTTTTAACACTAACCTCTCCCCTTTATTTGTACCCTAGGACAACAAAGGCACCACAGGAAGCCAAACAAGCACTCCAGAGCCTGCCAACAATTTCTCAAACGATGTCAGCTAGCAAGCTTTGCTCTGCCTTTATAGGAGCTCTGAGAACGCACGCTCCCAATTACACATTCTCAGGCAGTGAACACACCTAAAGGATACTCTTATTCTCCCACCTCATCCTCCCATTCCCTGTACCCACCCGCTAAATCATTCCAGTGCTCTTTTTTCCCAAGATCACTTTGATTATTGCTCCCTCTAGTGCCTTCTTCTCTTGTCAGTTTTCTCCTATGCCCTCCCCTTACCTAGGCTTAAGCTTAATTATCCGAAAGAATCCAGGAAACCCTAGCTTCCTAGCTGGTCTCACTTAACCTTAGATATAATCAGGAAAGTTAACAAACCGAAGTCAATAAATATATTTAAATGTAATAGATCAAAATCATTTCTTTCAAATGGATTCACATTCAATCCAGATGACCCACTTTACCCTGTTCACTCCAAACCCAATCCAGATTCTACACATACCTCTCCCCACTACAACCCTCACTCTTTCTCCACTGCCCAACTTGTTAATCTTTCACTCATTTAACAAACCTTTTTGAGGTAGGAGCTATGTGGGACAAATAAAGCAAGTATAGCAATGAATCAGACATGGTCTTATTACAGATAATAAAGGTTAAAAAAAAAAAACCTTGGCACAGTTTCCTACCATGTAGGTGGCCTCCAGTGTTTGTGATTACTATCATCATCATCGTCATCAATGGTCATTGTTTTCTGTGAGTTTCCAATCCAGTGCAAAAGATATATATGCAGAACCATAGTTCAGGGCTAGAGAGATGGTGTGGAGGATCTCAAATGCCATTCAGAAGGGCTTCAGGCTGTAAAAATGGGAGGTCATCACGTTTTTTGTTTTTTGGTTTTTTTTAGCATGGGAACAAAATGATCTGAGTGACAATATAAGGAGAGTAAACTGGCAGCCATTTGCAGGAAAGAAAAAAGAGGAAAAAAATATATTACAGCTATAGAGACTGCCTCCCCCACGACCCTTTCCTCAAACATCACAAGGGGAGAATGAAAAGGAACCCTCATCTAGAATCTGGCATCTGGCATCCCAGATGAAACAGAGGGCTAAATTGCGATGCTTACCTTATGAGAAGAAACATTTTAACTGAGTGGTCAGTGGGGTGGGGCCCTATTTATGACACAAGAGGGCAAGCCCCTCCCCCCTGGTAAGAGTGTGCGGGGCACACAGCCTCTTCTTATTCCCAATCCCTCCCCACTAAAGTGGAGCCATAGAGTGCAGTACTTGGCACGGGAGTGGGGGCCAGCAGTGATCAGCCCATTTGCCACCTGCCTTAAAAAGGAAGACCAGGGACACCAGGATGAAGGAGTGGAACCCAAAGGGAGGTGCCATCATGAGGAATCAATGAAAGATCTGTGAAGAGGAAGGCCTGAGGGAGAGCCCAGAAGAATGAAGCCTGGGAGATCAACACCTCCCCTGAGGGAAATAACCACAGTGGAGCCAGGTTCTAACACAGTATCTGGGCCAGACTGGGAATCTGAGCCTCACAAGAGACCTACGACCCAGCCAGAGCCAGAATCCAAGATGCAGCAGGGATCCAATACTCAACAGAAGCCTGCTTCACAGCCAAGACCCCTCACCCAGCAGGAGCTCCTTACCCAACACGAAGCTGAATCCCAGCAGGAACCTAGAACCCAACAAAAATCTGTTTCACAGCACGAACTTCTTGCCCCACAGGGGCCTGTACCACAGCAATCACCTCCCACCCAAAGGGTGCGCTTCACTCAACAGGAAGCTGCCTCTCAGCAGGGACCTGGGCCAGGCAAAGACTCTACAGCTAAACAGGAACCAGAATTGAGAGAGGGACATGTAGCCCAGCCAGGACCTGGGCCAGTAGAGCCACCTCTAGCTCAACAAGAAACTGAATCAACACTTACAGCCCAGGCTAAACCTGGACCCAAAAAGGGAACACCTGCCCAGACTGAATCCACATGCCAAGAGCGACTCGAGCAGTCGAACCCCATAGCCCAGCAAACAATTCTGATCCAGGGAACCAAATCCAGGCAGGAATATTTGACTGAGCAGGGATTTCTAACAAAACTGAAGGAACTATCCACCCAGCAATCAACCATAGAGTGGAAGGCATTTTTTGAGTGGGTCACAGATTTTGACTCAGAATCAGATGTGCGGTCATCTTCAGAGACAGATCCTCTGGCCATGAGGGACGGAACAGTGGCCCAGGGAGTGAAGCTAGCCTTCAAAAAGAAACCGAGTTATGAAGTGATATCAGGCTATGGTGGGACATCACCACATGGGAAGAAAACCAGCGCCAAGAATCACAAACACAACCAGGACACAGGTGAGTTTGAACCCGGAAGAAATGGAACCTCCCAGGGAAGGTCATTAATTCGTGTAAGAAATACTAAAAATTTACAGTATATCAGGTTAGCTCTGGTCATCCTTCAACAATCTTGAGACATAAATATCAACATCCCCATTTTATAGATGAGGACACTCAGGCCTAAAAATAAAGAAGTAAAGGATCTTGGCCGGGCACGGTGGCTCACGCCTGTAATCCTAGCTCTCTGGGAGGCCGAGGTGGGCGGATTGTTTGAGCTCAGGAGTTCGAGACCAGCCT